GCAGCGTTACTCTGTTTAGCTTCTTAGATATTGTTCTTAATAAAACAAAAAGTATTTTATATTTTATATTTTATTCCTTTCCCCTGCCCCTTCTCATTTTGACAGTTATCAGTAGTACACCTTTATATAAAACAGATACGTTAGACCAGCAGCCCTATCTATTAACTTCAGTGGAATCTCCTTGGTTATATAGACTACTGCACATTATAGACTACACAGTTTCGATATGGCTGCATGTTCTGTAGCAAAGAATATCTGTGCAGAATAGATGTATTAATTACTTATATAAATATAGCTTTGATAAATGTCACTACTATAGGCCTATGTACCATTCTAGGCAGTGGCCACAGCTAAGCATCTACTCCATTCCATTCATTATTTCAGATGGACTGTACCCATACCTACTAGTATTGCTCAGTACATAAGTACTACAAATATTATGCCTGCTGAATATTAGGACACTGGTGTGCATATATAACAAATTTTAAAAACTATATCCCTTAACCTTGGAATTATTCAAAATACTCTTAGAATTAAAAATAAAGATAATATTAAAAAGAAAAATTTTAAAAGTGCTTGTTCAATTACTGGGGATATTTGTGGTTCAGATGACAGGGAGAGGAAAATAAAAGAAGAAATATAAAGAACTCTGCTTTCCCGATTTTTTTTATGCTTCTGCTATTGACTTTGACAGACATTCCCAGGCTAATCCACTGTAACACAAGAAAAGGATTTCTGTTTTTGCTTTGTCCTGTTCATCGCATTTCACAAACTTTGTTGTTTTGTTTAAGCCCATATAAAACTAGAAATGGCAGGTGAGATACACACCTCTTTTGGTGTTAAGGAAATTCACAATGATAACAGCTTTAATAACAAAATACCACACATACACACACATGCACACTGACCTCAATACATATTCATTTGAAATACATTGGGATCCAGAAGCCCTTATGAACCTGCTTCTTGATAAAACCATTTAAGCACCTGCTCTGTGTTTAACTTTGAGACCATGTAAGTCAGCTAGAGCAGGGCAGTTGCTAACATGTTTATGGGTTTGCTGGTGAATGACCAAGGAGTGAAAACGTGCATATTTACCCATTTGTAAATTATTGCTTTTTTTGTCATGCAGCCAATTATTGCAGTAGCTGTTAGATGTAGTCCAAACATGTGGACGTGCGTGCACGCACACATGTGCACACAGGCACTCGCCAACATAAACAGTCCTCTCTGAATGAGAACACCCTTTTTACTCATTCCTCTATTCTATGAAGAGTTCAAGAAATGCACATCTTCCTTACAATGGCCCAAAACCCCAATATCAAACACCTTGCCTGCCACCACCCATCAGCCCATAATAAAAGGCTATAGACTTTTGTAGTGTCTCTTGTGCATTACATGCAAGCTACTTGTCCCCTTTCCACATCTGGCTGAGGCCAATTAAGTCTTTTCAAATCCATGCTGCCTGAGTCATTGGGTAGCCTTTTTCTTTAAAATTCAAAATCGGGGTTGGGGAGAGAAATCTTTCCTATGGCTAAACTTGGCTCCGTGTATGGACCCAGTTGCTAAAACAGCCTAAAAGATGCTGAAGACTCATAAGCTCTTTCAAGACATCTATGTGGCTTAATAAGGCTACATGGGATCCTCATTATTCTGAAGCTCATGGCCTTCACCCTGTATAAGCAGCACTGACTTTCCCATCAAAGATTAATTGGAAAGAGCTACATGCTTACATTTGCTTGAGGACCTGGATGTGTTGTGTCCTCAACCCCTGCTCTCTCTGGCCCTATGCTTCTGGCTTTTGGGCTAGTAGGGCATGCAGGGTCCATTTGTGTTAGAGGTGGAATAACAGCACTGTCTGTAAACCTGTAGCTCTGAATCATGACCCGTTTTACTTTCTTTACCTGCCACATAAACTTCCTACTGTTTACCATCAATGCTAATTCTAAAGAAATGCTGTTAAAACAGAGGTGACCATTTTAGAAATTTTTTAGAAAAGTATGAGGGAATCTTTGCATTTTTTTTCCTATTAATAAGTACATCACATACTTATCACCTTAAAAGCACCAGTAAGACAGTCACATAGATACTTTAAAAATTGCATTTAGACTCTGAACATCTTTTCTTTACACCTTAACTTCTGCTGTGCTTTGCACTTGCCACTCAAACAACATCCCACTGGAGGACAGTTTTTGTCCTTTCATCTTAGTGCTTGTAGGCTTCAGGAGACAAGTTAAAATAACAGCCATGAGACAGAGAGAGACAGCAGACTTTCTGGAATGTGCATGGGCGTGAGGAGGAGCCAGGAGTACATATCTGCTTTAGCAGTGAGAGAGGTTCTGTTAGGCCACCACTAACACAACTAACAGGAATGGCTGCTTTTTTTTGGTCAAACCAGGAGGAATCAGTAGGTACAATTTCTCCATGTGCTAGTCTGTAAGTCACATATTTTCTTTTTCTTTGTGTCTTTCTTCATTTCCTCCCCCCCAAAAAAAATGAATGACCACCTTCTTGTGATGACTCTGTATCAAATACATATACACCCCTATATAGATGTGTGTATATATAACCACACATACATATATGTGTGTACATGCATATATGCAAACACACATGCACACGTACACACACAGACACACACTATCCAACACATGAGTTAACAAAAAAAAAGTTTAGTCTGTATTAATTGTGCATGCAATTAATGAAAGAGCTGTAATTCCTTTTTTTTCCTCTTGTTGTCCTTTGAGAAAAGAGTAAGAATTATTAGAAAAGATCAAAAACTTATTTCTACATCAGTCATCATGTGGTGTGTCAGCTGTCACTTAGGCCACTTTCTCAGCCACTTGCCTTGATGTAACTTCATATCCAAATATTGGTGCTGGCCTTATTGTAGTCTTCAATGGCTGAATATCAAAGATCTCCAACAGGTTTTCTACGTACTCCTCCATCTAATTGCCAGAAGTCAGTCCTACGTCTTTGATAATCAAAAAGAGGAGCAAGTAAAGATTATTGATTGCTCTTAGCTTTTCTATAAATGTGAAATGCAAATCCATAGCTATACCTGTTTCTGTCTCATTTGCTTTCTACAGGTGACGTTCTATCTATAGTTACATATGGTGCTATCTGTGCTGGGAGAGAGTGTGAGTGTATTCAGATCTTGTCCTTTATTTACGTACAGTTGGCAGCATGATATTTTTGGGTGTTAAACCAGACAGAGACACACACAAACCTTAGCTATATAGGAGTGTTGTATTAGATTCATTAGATTCATTAGATTCATGTTTTATCCAGTGAATACTCACTTATGAAAGAAGGACGCTCAGAAATGGCACTGTATATGATAAAAAGTATAAGATACAATATTCTATGCCCCTACATTAAACACCATCCTTCTGAGAAAAAAATAATAAGAAAAAAAAATCACATATACTTGTGAAGTCGAACACAAATTTCAAAAATTCTCCTGTGCTCAGAACCAGCTTTTCTTTTTTCCACTCTGTTTATAATATGAATGCAGTTCATAAATGAAAAAGGAGCACTGACTTCAAAGTAAAGGCTTAATATGACCCAATGCAGAAACTGGATGTAGATTATAATGTGTCACTAGCCGAAGCAGCATAAGAACTCACCAGAATCAGCTTCTGTTTTGAGGACTGTGAAATGGGTTAAACATGGTCTAAAAAATAATGAAAATTGCTTAAATTGTTTTGTTACTTTGTAGGAGAGTGAAATATTTTAAACAATCCAATTTTACATTCTGTTAACAATTCATGTTACCATCTTTAAATACCTATGCTACAAAATGTAAAAACAACGTAGTCACAGTCCAAGAAGTCACTCCAGAATAAAGCCTATTAGGTGTTAGTATGGTTATACTTTTACTGTAGCCAGTGTACAAACATTAAAGCTGAGACAGTTTAGCTTAAAGGTTGGATTATATAGTGGACATAATTGTTTTCACAATAAATTCATTATTATCTGCTTTGTATTTGTTTGTTTCACTGATACTTCTCTAATGAAAAAAGTACCACAGTATGTTCTATTGTGGTGTTTACAATTCTGCAAAATTACAAAGCCTAAAGTTAACTTGCACAATGAAAATCTGCTTTTCCTAATGACTGGGGTCCTATGTTTTTGTTTTAATCCTTATTAGCTCAGCCTTTTCTTCTTTCTTCTTCTGTGTTTCACACAATTTTGTCAGATGTTGCTAATTTGAGTTAGAGAGAATTACTAAATCAGTTATTACACCAAGTGCCTGGGTGGATAGATACTGCAGCACAGATACGAAACATCAAATTTTAGTCTGGTGGCTATAAAGCTTGTTGGCAACTTTGTGAAACTGCTGACACAAAAGGCACCCATCGAAGGCCTTTTGTAAGTTATCGTAATAAATACATTCATTATTTTATTTTGATTTGGTTATTACTGTACTTTTATGTCTGATGTCCCATCAAAGTTAAAATAAATTAAAAAAAAAAAAAGCAATGGCTTGGTGCAGGAATTAACTGAGAACAGCATGTTGTGAGATGACTATAGCGCTAAAGCTAAACCAGTTTTTATCCTGATCTGAACTCACCAAAAGCAGTTTTGGTGTACCTTTTGCCAAGGTATGAGCTATCATCAAAGTGCAAAGATCTGGAGCTAAATGCCTATAACAAATCAGGAAGAATTTGAACCAAATAAGCAAGACTGATGCAAGGCCATCAGCATGTTGAAGTAATGAACCAACAAAATGTGGTAGATGACAAGGCTTATAACTTAAGATTTCATGAACTGTAATACATGGCAAAAGAAGAGGAATTGCCAAGCTTGCCTCCTTGGAATAAGCAACTGCTGATGACTAATGGGAAACGGAGTGGAACTGCCATATTTGCCTTTTTTAGCAAGTGCTGCCTATGAGCACCTCATGTACATGACCCTCAGTGTAGGGCAGTGGTGTTCACTATGCTAATGTCACAGAAGGGTATCGAGGATGTCAGGCTGCTCTGTGTGTGTGTGTGTGTGTGCGCATGTGTAGTGGGGGTGGAGACACAGTGGGTGTGGAGGGGAGATTGGACCTTAACATGAACTGGCAATTAATATGGTAATAAAGCAAAGAATATTTCAGAAGAAAGTTACATGTACAAAAATATGACTTTCAACTTTGAAAATAAATAAGTTCAGTTTATTAAGAGCTGGTGTTAATGCTGAACAAAATACACATCCTCCAGTAAAGAAACATTTTGGTGAACTGTTCTTTCTTTTTGTCGTCTTCTTGTTTTGATTTAGTAAAATTCAAATTGGACCTTTTAATTTCCTTTTAGTGAATATATCATTTGTCTCCCTTAATTACATGTCCTTATAACTGTGACCATCATTCTCCTTTAAGCCAAAGACTGAGGTTTGGGTTTTGTTGGGATTATTTTTTTTTTAATTCTTAGGAGTCTGGCCACATATGCAGGGTTATTTTTAAAGGGAAAATACTTGACAATGAAAAAAAAAAGAAAAATATAGTTTTTCTAATAAATAAAAATAATTTAAGATGCTAGAGGCTATACATGGCTAATTTTGATTCTGTTCATTTATAAATGAAATAGTTTCCAAAATACGTGGAAGCAATATTAAAGGCAGACAAACAAAGATCTGTCTACTTTATTTTCCCATTAAGCTTGCCCTTCTTAACTTCTCCATCAGTGGTTCAGCATGTAAGAGGAATAAATGTCACATCACCATTCATGAAGTTTTTCAGGCTTTAAAAAAATAGTTCTGGCCTTGAAGGAGTCAACATTCATCTTCAACTTCTCTGATTGGTGGTATCAAGCTGCTTGTCGATTTATATTGATTGATCTGATTGGCCATGTGAGTGCTCATGGGCTTGATTTGAATGTTTCTGGGATAGGCATTATCCGGCTCATCTGTAAACCATTTCTTTTCTGCTAAGGAGCAAAATGGGTAGAGACAGAATAAGGAAGGAAAATGAGAGTTTTAATTAGTGAAGCACATACACATATAAACATAAAAAAAAAAAGGAGAGGGGAGCAGTCAGTAAAGTTTATAGAGAAAAGGCAATCAATAGAAGGTGACTTTGACTAATTACTAGCAGTACAGTGCATTAGATTAATACCTCTGAAAATACTTTTCATGAAAGGAGGATGATGTGTTTGCAGATTTGATAGTAGAAGCTAAAGAAAACTGTCAATATGGTAGTTTGCTTTTTGAATGTAAGAGAGCTTTTTTTTTTCATGCTTAGGTGAACACCCTCTGACTCATTTATTTAAAAAAATTATACAAATAAAAGGCTAAACTGAGAAGCCAGGGAAAGCAGATGGGATAAGGGTAATGCAGAAAAGAGCATGTAAATTCATATGCAGAGAAGCACCATAAAGACTCAGAGGCTTCTCTGAACCATCTCAGCCTTAGGGTGGTCGCTACCACTAGCTCAGAAATCATGCAGGAGAATGTAAAGAACTATCTGCAGTTGGTGCTAGAATAAATAGGGTTGGCATCCATGATGCCAGATGGTTGCATTCCCACACAGCATGGCCACTATATTGCTACTTTAGCAACCTGGCTACTTGGGCACTGCTTAACTCTCCAGTTTGGGAAGGGGAATGGGAAATACCTGATGCTGCAGATGACTGTAGTAGGGTCTCAAGTTATTCCTGAATGGATTGGTATTCATAAATGGCAGAAAGGCAAAGGAAGCAAAAACTTACTTAAGGGAAGATTAGAGGGGAAGCTGTTCCTCTGATATTTTTGGGCAGAGCTTGTTCCCATGATCATAAGAATAATTTTATGGTACTGATTTAGTGTGGACTGGGAGCAATGTGAGAGGGAATGAGGATGCTGAGAGGCTGCAGCATTGCAGCCATTCCCTCGCTGCTTATGATTGAAACCGCTATATTGGATTGTTCATACACAAGCATGGAGAAAAACTTCTTAAAATTCACAAAAGAAAAAAAGTAAAGCAAAATAATTTTCTTCGAGAGCAATTGCTGCTGTAAGTTCTTAATTACAGGTGTGCAACTTCACACGATAGCTCTATTCAAAGACTTAGAAACTCTTGGTCTTTGGCCTATAGCCATTAGATGCTTGTGCTTTGACAAGCATTTGTGAACAGGATCTCCATTCTCACTCTCCTTCCCTAAATTTCAGAGGTAAGTGTGCAGAACAGTGGGCACAAACGGTTCTGGGAATGGAATTCTGCAACTGGGGCGTATCAAAGCTGCTGTTCTACAGGCATGCACTATCTCAACTTCAATGGGAACCCAGAAGCTTTAGTGTCTCACTTGCATAATACAAACTGCCACTTTTGCTTACCACTGAAATGCTTCTGTATCTGGGCTGGGATCAGGGCAGGAGTGGAAGGAGTGTTCATTTTAAATAAATAAGAAAAGCAAAGCAAAATCCACCTCAGAAACCCAATTATTGAGCACAAAAACTCAGGAGGTAAAGCACAGAATAGAAACTTGAAGACCAGGAAGAATAAGGGACAAATATCTGGGAATAAATGCATAAAAATAAGCAACTAGTTTCTAAATTAGGGCCTCTAGAGAAGTGGATTGATTTCCAGAATTAGTGGACTTCTCAGTCGCTTTCATGAATATGAAATTTAAACACTTATACTTGATATGGAATTTAAGCACCTACATGCAACACCCCCACCCCCGACAACAACAACCCCCAAACTCATGAGGGTTTAATTAATATTTTTTTTTAAGATATGTTACCTGTGCATATGCTTTTTAAAAACATTTAAATTGAAAAAAAGAAATTGTATTAATCATTAGTGGCTTATTACGGATGGTAAACAAAAATACTGTATTCTTCTTCTTGTCATTTTCTAAAATGTATTTTACTTTTTTCTAAAATATCCTATTCATTTGTGATTAGGGTAAACAGTTGCCTGCTCCCTTAAAGTTGCCTGAATCTGAACAATGTTCAATCTCCCATCTCTCTCTCACTCTCTCTCTTACCTATTATAATTAAGTTCCCTTTGATTTGAACAGATTGGACGATAGGAATTCATAATGTTACATCCTGCACACTGAAGCTAACTGATTAAGTGGTTTAAATTATTCTTCCTGACAGAATGATAAAGTTACAATCTGTTCAGAGATGATCTACAGCTTGCCAGACTCCTACCGCTTCTTTCTACATTCATTTATCTTTTTGTCAAGCAGTTAAAAAAAAAAAGCCTCAATTCCATAGATCTTTTAAAGTCATCAGAACATCTGAATTATTAATGAGACTTAAAGGGAATGGTTCCTGATGGGGGCTGGTTTAAGAAAGGTTGTAAAAAAAAAAAAAAAATCTGGGGATGTGTACACATCAAAATAATTTCAGCTCCATTTAAAAAACCATTTAGTTCAAGTGTGACACATGAACCATTATGCATTTGTGGAAACCAATTTTGTGTGATCTACGATTAAACTAACCTTTCAGAGAGGTGTAAAGTGTGATGGTTATCATGTTTTAAAAGCCTTGCAAGATCACATAAACAATTTCAAACTAACAGTTTCCTAATGGTTTGTGTTTAAAATGATTTCAAGGCAAGTTAAGCACTGCGAACTTTTATCTCTACCTCGTTTTTTTAGCATAAGGTGCACGAATTTTCCTTACAAACAGAATTTGGTGCAAGTTAATTCAATCTTCTAGCAAGAAAGGGGAGAATTGCGTGAGTGCAAAGGATCACGGGTGAACTGCACTGTGTTTGTCAGTAGCCAGTGTGAAGCACTTCCATCTCCCCTCCTTTCTCTGGAATTTTCAAAACAAGGCAATTATCTATATGTTAATCTTTACAACAAAACTCATACCCAGGGAGCTGATCTTTAAAAAGACACAATCACGTCTCTTATGTCTTTACCTCGCAAGTAATAAATACAGAAATACACTTTTCAATCTTTTTTGTTATGCTCACAGTCTGACTTCGATATGTTTTCCAAAGTCTGCACAGAATTTCATGTCTTAAACAAATTACTTACTCTTTCCTTTAAATCAGTCCAGAAAACACTTTTTTAAGTCTTTATATATTGTTATATTAATCAACTTTTTAGTTCTCTGTCATGTTCAGTCTGTTTCTCTCCCTTTTGGCATATGCATATTGATCCTTACCATATGTGTTGCTACATTATAGTGAGAACAGGCATGGTTTTCCCTTTAATCTTTTTAGAGCTGTTCAAGAGAGTCCCAGATCTTCCTATGCTATTTGATGGGTTTGTTTTTGACAGCATCACCTGAGAGATGTTGGAACAGCTAAGTAACTTTATCAGAAAGCAGAAAACATCTACTTTCCTCTCAAACACCTGTGTTTGCAATGGGCTATCAGCATCCCAGCATGTCCATGAAGCTTCTAAAGGTTTCATGCTCTTTTCACAAATAAATAAAAATTAACATCTTGTGTAAGACTGTTCGCTGCAGCATAAAAAGATATAAATAATTAAAGTAAAATGATCAAAATACAGATTTCTTCAACTTGTGTAAGACTCTAGCAATTCTCTCCAACAGATTTATTGCATTAAAATTTCTCTCCAGCAGATTTATGCATTAAAATTTCTGTCATTATTTCTGGACTCAGTAATCACATTTGAATAAATGTCACTGTGAAACACCCTCTTCTGAGCAGAGATAAAGTACATACTATCTAAACATAATACAAAGATTTACTAAATCTGTATTCTCACCATAATCCCAGGTTACCTTACAACTGTTGTTTTAAACATGTTAGTTTGGTTTTTTTTCTTTTGTGACACCTGCAGTTTCAAATGTGTCTGTTCGCATGTGTTTGTGTGCTTCCCTCCACACAGGGAGCTTGTTTGCAGCTAAGCTGAAAATTCTCCCATGCAATTTCTTCCTGCATGAGAAAAAAGTAATGAAAGTTTCTCCACCCACCTGAGAGAATAAGCTATTCTTGCTTTCTGTGAAGGTCTTTATTTTGCTCCAAGATAACTAAAGTTTTGGGACAAAAATGCTATTCTGGACTTGCTTTTATTGATTTTTCTTTTTTTTTTTTTTTTAAATTAGCAAAATTCTTACTTCTGACAATGGGAATTTCGCTGGAAGATGCCGGACTCTGCCAGTTCAGGCCAGTGGGAACCCATGCCATGAACCTGCAGGCTTGCTAGATGTGATTTTGTGTCAACACTCAGATAAACAAAGTGTCTAAGAACCTAGCTTCCATTGTCAAAATCATGCCGGGACTGATATAAGTGGCAGTACCTCCATTTAAAGCTCTAAAATGTCCTTTATCAACATAGCTGCTGTTTATCAACTTTCAAAAACTAACCCAGGTAATTACTAAGAATGTTTGACTTGTGATAGGTTTCTGAACAAACAAGAGATTTCCTGTTACTTTTCAATATAAAAAAATTTGACAATATAACATAACTTAATTTAAACATTCCTCTAAGTGTAATTACCAACCTCCCAATTTTATTAGTGTATCAATATCAGAAAATCTTCATCATGGTTATAAATCAAAAAATCCTATTTGATCAATTTGACTATAGTTAGCAGTGAAAATTGCACATGGTATAACTAAAAGTCAAAACTTTAAACCTTTCAACTTTAGGACAGAAAGACGTAAGAGAATTAGACTTCAATAGGATTTGAGAATTCAGATCTGCAGTCATATTAGATATTCCTCTTCTGCTGCTCACAAGTAGATAAGTTGCTTCTCCAATATACGCTGTTTATATTTTTTCTATTATTTGAGCTGCACAGTTATACAAATACTATTTTTTCGGATAAAATCATTATGTAGTATGTGACAAGTGGCTTCATATTAACACCCTTCCTTTGCTAAATGGAAAACAGATAAAACATTAATGGAAAAGCATTTTGGTGTCAAAGCGATTAACATTCTTCCAAAATGCATAACTGCTCTCGACTATCTTCAGTCAATATTGCCAACATAAAAAGATGCTCATGAACATACACAGGGGACGAGGGAGTAGGGAGAGGAAGGGAGAAGAGGAATTGGAATGAGGAATGGGAAATTAAAGTAATGTCTGCATCAGGGTAGGCATCTTCATTGAGCAGGAACCTGGGTGTTTACAAAAGGACACGTGCAATTAGAAAGGCAAGCAGATGACAGGATAAAAAATAAAACAGGGTTGAGCAACAGCAGCAGCAGCAGCAGCCAGTTTTACTTCTGGTTTGGAGGGAAAAAAAGACAAAAGAAAACAAACAAAACAACTAAACAAACAAACCAGTAGCTGAATAAAGTTTGTAACTATTTTTTTTTTAATTTCACAAATTTTCACAAGGACAAAGTTATAGAAGGAAACCCACAGCAGTTGCTAGGTCATGCAGAACCATTAATTGTCATACCTTGGCCCATTCTATTCATCCTTGTTGCACTTTAGGAAAAGAAGTAAGCTATGTAAGTTTTACAATGCTTTCAAATTGTCATATTTCCTGTTGAGCACTTTAACTGGCACATCCTTGTAGTAATAAATATTCTTTGGGCAAAACATGGTAACTTTCTTTGCAAAAAGAAACACATGATTTTGTCTTTATGATGAAGAGCAGTTGTAATAGACTCATTTGTAAGGGAGCATCCATAATTTGCAATGTATTTCACTGATAGGACTTAAAGCTGCATTTGAATGCACGCACACATATACACTGTATTCCGATCATTATGCTGAACATTGCACAGTGGTACTCTCTGCAGCCCACTTATATAGTTCCAGGTTTTGTCAGTAAAAGTGCTTGGCTTCATTGTCAATTCACACAGCAAGCAAATCTTCAAAATTATCATGCTTGGGGAAGGGGAAGGTAAAAAACAACACTAACCATAAAAGCACCTTGTCTGGGTTGGCAGTCACAGTGCTAATCACTTCCACATCCCAATATTTATTTTCTGTCTGCATGCTTTCTTGCTGGGTAATCGAGGAAGGTGATAAGTGTTTCTAGCCTTTCTAGCCTGGGAAACACTTCATATCACTTAGAACAAGTTCTATATTTCAAAAGGTTGGCATTTGAAATTTAAATAAACAAGCTTGAAGCATCATTTCTACGGCTGTCTAGGATAGTTTCCTTTCCACTACTTTATTTAATTCCTTGCCACAATTATTTTTTTTTTGGCTAGGTGTGTCATTTGTAAGAATCTGCAAGAACCACACTCTGGCAAATGACTAGAACATGGTGCCTCAGTAAAGTGAATATTTCCCCCTAATCCTCTCATTCTGCTCATTAGCTGTGTAGGGCTTTTCTTCCCAAATGGGAGAAACCTTAAAGGCACTCAATTGTCTTCCCCTGTATTCCTATGTACTGGCAAACATTTGCTGAAAAGAACCAGCTAGAACATGGAGCAGGACTTCTGGAGGATCTTCACATATGAGGACTCTCGTTGGAAGATTTATACACCACTCTAACTTGGAAAAGTTAAACTACCATCTGGGAAAAGGAACATAGTCCCTCGAGATCCAATACTTAAGCATAGAAAAATGCTTGCTCTTTTCTGAACATTATTTATTCTGTACATAAGGTGACTAATTCACCTTTCAAAGATGTAAAAGTCCCAGGAAGGCAGTTTTTAATGACCTACATCCAATATTTATGATACGTATGGCTTTTTATCCCAAATGTCAAAAGTGAAAGAAAATATAGGTATTCATGTGGCAGTATAAATAGACAGAATAATAATTTAATATGCAATTAGATTCTTTCAAAACTTAAATTAAACCATTGGAGTTTTACAACTCCATGCCCAGACAATTTCAGTGTTAAAGGGAAAAGACACTATCTCCAAAAGGCTAGTATTTTAGAGAAAGTCCTTAAAAAAGCAGAAAAGTCCCTGATGTTGCTTTAGTATAAAGCAGGTGCGTAGCAATAATCTATACAAAGAGTGTAAGCCCTATACAATATAAGCTTTCAGAGTGAAAAATCAGTAGAGATTTTTTTTAAATGGGTTAGTTTTATAAGCTTCAAATAAATGTAGCAACTCCTGTAAATATGAATATAAAAAAACCTACTGCAACATACATCAACACTTCTGGACTAAATTACTTTCTTTGTGTAACTCTGACATCAAGAGCAAGTGTTCATGTTAAATATACTCTATTTTCTGATATGTAGAGTAACTGCAGTGAGTTATTGATGTTTTTAGTGTGTCTATGGGTTTAGAATTTTTTTTCTCCCCTAGCATCATAAATAACTTTTGGTCCGTCTGCTTTGTTGCTGTTGTGCTTAAGGGTTTTATGGTGGTGAAATAAAAATGACAATCACATGCACACTGTCATACATATGCAAAATATGTGTACAAAAAGGGAGAACTCCATGGGAAAACAGGGAACATTGCTGCTAGAAACATTAACTGGGGAGAATGAGTAGTGAATGCAAGTTTCACACACAGTGGGAGCAGGTACACATATCAAAGTCTATCTTCCTGCACATACTTCTGTTTTTCCCGGGAATCCCTGGTCTTGGTGCGGTTCGGTCGGTTTGCTGTTGAGGGGATGGAGTGAACTGATGAGCTCTTCTTGCTGGAAGAATAGGAGGAATGGGAGGAATGAGAAAGACTGGCTCGGGACTGGCCAGCGTTGTGGTCAAATTGCATTAAACAGAAGATCAAGTCTGTCGGCACAAGCTCAAATTCATATGGTGGGTTTGTGATAACATAACTGGAAAGAAAAAAAAGAAAGAAACAAAGAGAAAGCAGGTTTAGGTTTGTACTAAAATATTCTTCTAGAGTTGTTAACTAATGAACATTTACCTAGGTTTTTGCATTCAGTTCCTTCAGTGTGTACCTAATTTTAGCTTACATAATACCCATTATGATTTAGGACCTTCTTGTGTCACCTACCACTTTCTGTATGTTTTCTGTTGCACAGGCATACAGTCTGAGTAGGATGCCCTTTAACTGAATCGTGTCATGATTTTTCAGAGAAGACACAATACAAAATCATCCTTCTTTCTTTAGCTGCACCATAATGCAGTGACTCTAGCCAACAGATTTACATATTGACAAAAAATAGTAACATACCCACCAGCAATGGTATTTAAATAGCTGAAAAGCAGGGAGACAAGGATTTTAGGTGCAGTTATATTTAAATACATCTTTACTGTACATATATAAAATATTTAAATACTGTTGATAGACCAAAGGATATAATTATTTGTTTGTGACTGTATATAAAATAAGTTAAGGAAAATTTATCAGCAAATTTGCAGTGAGGTTAAATTTTTTCATTCATTCCATGTGTGCATTCATAGCCTCAAAGAGCATTTATGAAGATAAATCTGCACATCTAGCATTGCTAATTATACAGCCTAGGCCTGAAATAAAAACTCTTATCAATTTCAAGAATCCCTACCTTCAACTAACCCTCTTTCAGGGCAGGAAGACCTTATAGAGCCTGCTGCTAATTTTTTTTCATAGAATCACAGAATGGTTAGAGTTGAAAGGGACATTAAAGATCATCTAGTTCCACCTCTCCTGCTATCGAAAGGGACACCTCCCACTAGACCAGGTTCCTCAAAGCCTCATCATGTTAAAAACATATTTGAGCAAGGCAATATGCATTTTCTGTCCAAGGAAGAAATGAGTAAAAATTGATCATTAAGCTCACAACTTCTTTTCAAACTAATTCAGTGCTTAAAAGAAATCTAGCTTAGCTGCCTCAGGGACAAAAGTCACTCATTAATCCAAAAAAATAATCCCAAGTATAGCAAGTACACTGTAACTCTAAACTGAATATAGTTTTTTCTACCCAATTTGTCCAAATAATTACAGAAGAAATCACTTTGGTGGGCTGCAGTGTTGTTTATTTACACATTCAACCAATAATTATGCCTTGTGTAGAGAATCAAACAGCAACAGATGGTAGATTTGCGATAGTTCTCGTGTGGGTCTGTGTGTGTATTTCTAGTAGGCACTTAATTAAGACACATTTCAAGTTAACTGCTAAACAGCCTTCAGTTTCCAAAGATGGAAATGTGTCTGTTCTATTTAAAGCACTGAGGTCAGTCTTGGTGCTACTGAAGTAAAACTGCAGCCTACTAAGAGAAGGGTTTCCATTTAGTGGAAGAAATTATGATTTGACATGGATAGTACCAATGGAAAGCCCACAGGAGTATTTTTCGAGCATTCAGAAAACAGAAAGTTTAGCTACTATAATCTAAATCATTATCTAGTAACTTATAGCTGATTTATATAAACAAAATGAAGTCCTTTCCTTGTATGCAAGCAGTGGGTCATCATAAATCAAACAAGATAAAGATATGTTCTGAATATTTAAACATTTTCATTAAAATTAGCTGAAAACTCATGCTATGCTATCCAGTCTATGATTTAATGTCAGTAAAAGAGTCATTATGAAGTTCTCAAAGAGTTACTTTTTGTGGCAAAGTTATGTAAAAAATGAAGAAAGTTCTTTTATAGATTTATTATAGACACTGGGATCTTCCTTGCTGAGAAAATCGAAGAACAGTGAAGCAGAGATGTTCTAAAAGACTGGACTTACCGTTTAGTGCATTGGCTGGGAGTACTTAAATGTGCATCCCTTAATCGATAAATTCCAAAGCAAAGCATATTGTATGTTTTCAGTGCTTTACAAAATAGATCTCCATAACAACCTCCATCCTAAGAGAAAGAAAGGAGAGAAAAAAAACCAGAGAACAGTACTTTTATTTTCCTCTGTTAACACAGTGTCAGGGAGCATGATTTTCATTATGAGCCTGCACAAAAAGGACAATGTATAGACAGTCCACTGTTTGTCACAAATGAGAATCTTTTACCCAAGGAAATGAATAATCTAAATGTTTTCATTCAAATAAGTAATTATGTAAAGTGATCACTATTTTTGGAGAGTCTTGGTCCACAAAATGATGGTAAGTTAGGAAGAGTGAGTGATTTGCTTTAAGCTAGAAATATAAATTCTGGTACCAAACAATGAATATTCTACATATTACAGTAACTGTGGTATCAAAATTGTAAGTATTTTTACCCCTTTTTTGGCAGTAGCCATATTGTCATCTAGACAAATATATTCACTGGAGAGCACAACAGAAATTTGAGTTCTGAGATGTTTTCATGGGTTGGCCTGTTGAAAGGCTAATGAAATTTCTCCCACTTTAATATAATGATGAAATGTATGCTACTTTTCATAAATAATATAACATGTTTTGATTGGAAAAAAGAAGTTTAAATTTGATAATTCGCCTATCTAAAATATTGATTCTTAAATAATGATGAGTTTAATGCATTCTACATTCCCTGATGTAGTGCAACTGAGGCTCTAGCAAAATAGCATTTCAAGGATTGGCATTGCTTGTTTTATTTCTGAAAACAGTGTGCTGCGTGCCCAAGTGTTTTGAGCTGTTAGCTTCAGCTATGAACAGACTTCCACATGAACTGAAATGCTGTTTACTTCTATCTCTGTGCTCTCATCACCCTTAATCCTTGAACTGGGATTCTCTGTCATTTCTGTGAAGAAGTTGCTCCATTCTTTTTGAATGGTGGTGAACACACAGTTAATTTAAGAAATAACAAATTCTACATCATTATCAAAGCAAAGTGCTTTGAGATTTGCCTCAAGTTTACGAGATTTGGTCCAGAAAACAATTTTAGATCCTTCTTTATCCAAATGCATAATTTTTTAAAGATGGTTTGTTTATTTGACTTTGTGTGGTGCATTTTGGGTTTTTTTAATTTCTCTCTTAGGACAGGGGAGTCAAAATGTCAGAAAATTAGGATTTCACAATAATTTTTTCATCCAGAAACAGCAGAAAACAAACCTTATAGCTTTGCTTTCAAGCTAATAAGCATATTTTAAGCAAGAACTGGAAGCTCTGTGGAAAGACCGAACAAACATATCAAAACCCAACAAAGATATAGATATTGCTCATGTTTACATTTCATTATTGTAAAAATGGTTATATAATCCACATCAGCTCATCCATCTCTTTAGCTGACAACTAAGAAGAATCACAGGATTTTCTGTATGATATATCCAGTCAAGGAGCCTGGAAAGTCACACAGCTTCATAAATAGCATAAGAGCAACCCTGGCATCCTGTTCTGTAAATTGTCCAAAAGATCTATTAAATTTAATAATAGAAATTATATGCTTATTAAGGGTAATTTTTAATTCAGTCTGAGAGAAAACAAATAGATTGCAGACCAGTCCTATGTTTTCCTCATGATCTTACCCCTAGGTCTGCGAAGGGCCCATCATACAAAGCCAACTGAGCAACTCGACACCTGTCCCTGTTTGCAAGTGTCTGGGGCGTGCTGTAACCTCCTCTCAATGCATTTTCCTCAGCAATCAGCGCTTCCAGCTCTGGTGTGGCTCCTCCTGTTACCAATGTCCGTATCAGTGTGAGGATATTGTCATTGAAGTATGTCTGCAGAGATAAAAGAAAGCTCTTTAAGCAAACACCATTAAAGCCACAATTGAAGACATCCAAATTACAACTTTTCTGGGTTTCTGCTGTTTAAAGTTCTTGGCTGTCTCTTCAAATAATTTTATATAGAAAGTGAAAAGACAGCAGCCTCCAATTACTCTATTTTCTTCTATCCCATTAGGCTTCTATACTAGACCCTTCCTTTTAAACACCAATTCAGGCTGATTTTTATTAAAGTACAAAAATTTGAATGATTTATGTTTCCTATAATTGGTGTTAGTAATGATGCAATGACTGCTTTCCTTCTCATTGCTTTCATGTCTAATAATGGGCTTTAGGACATGTAATTGTAAAATTCAGACCACATTTAAAGCTTACACAGGCTAGATTGCCTTTTTACTCTTGTCACCAATTCGTTGGGGAGCTGCCTTTGTGCTGCAAATGTCATTACTTATTACTGTGGCTGGACTCTAGCAGTCTAACTGATGTATTGTACTAAACATCTTATTACAAGACTTGACAGTGTTCAGACATAAGCATGTATCAATTAAACATCTTGAGTTCATTCCAGATAAATGTATGATGAGTTTGGGATCCTGGTGGTCCTTTTAAAAAACTCAAGGGTATAGGGTAAGTGTGGTTTATTAGGAAAGATTTACTCCACACTGACATTTTGCCAGCATCTGTAGCATTGCAGGTCTCTCAGGCAAACAATGGGTATTTTAAATATTAATTTAATGCCAGATGAATAACTTTCAAGTTCACTCAAAAGTATACTGGTATAGTTCAGAGATACCCAAGTTAAATATCTGCAGTGTAATGTACTGGACAAAAGATAATGTTGAACAAAAAAAAGGAGACACCATCACCTACAATGTCACTAATGTCTGTGTTATCAGAACCTTTGAAAGTGTGGGGAACACATGAGAATAAAAGGAGCTCAATGTTCACAGGACTGACATTACTGGACTTCTGAATTCCATTACTAGATTTCTGACTTCTGTTGAACTTGGGACTTGGAACAAATGTTTGTAAACCAACCAAATAAAAATGACTACTGAATTCTCACAGTGCTTCTTGCCCAAAGATAATACTTTTTAAATAACACTTTTGGATGAAATTCATAGTTCTATCCATATATTTAATATATGGGTAAACTGAGGTACATGCTGAAATATATAATCCTGAGATCAACAAGCAGAACAGGCTTCCTATCCATGTTACTTTGATATTCTTTCTTTGTGTAATGAAACTTCAGTTTTACTGTTCACTTGAGATGACAGATAAAACAGAAGAAAATGAATTCTGTGTGGAACAGTTGTTCACTGTTACATTGAAGCTTCATAACTTCAAGCTTCTCTCCTTATTTACATAGACATATATGCCACTCACCTGTTGACTACAGTAAAATGAGAGGAACATATTGCTATTGTTATATGTGCCCGAAAGCAAATACATGCATCTCATCAACTCCAATTATTTTAAATTAGCCCAGGTAAGGCACTAGATACTTTAAATACAAAGTGTACTGTAAAGAGTTGTCTGACATTAGCAGGGGTTCAGGAAGATTCAGTTAGTCTAAAGCCACAGCTAATCGCAAATCAGCTCTTACATACGTGGATGCACTGTTTCAAGTGTAACACTCAAACCTTTCTTAACATATAGAAAAATCAATGTGACTTCTTGCAGGAATGTAAGTCTGGAGTGCTATTCTTAGTTTTACATCTATAAATCAAAATATGAGAACATGAAACAAAAGTAAGGCATATCTTTACTGGTAGTTTTTTCAAGTCTGGTTTACAATGAGGCCAACTATGGTAAGAAATGTTCACCCGCTCTAACACTGATGGATGCTGGCTTATATAAAATAGTCTGTTTTCATAGACTGCTGACTTGCAGTGATTGGTAAAACATGCAAAAGTCTAAAATTGTACTAATAATTTTATTATTCTTAAGGAGTTATCATTAGGCCAGCCTTCACTGGTTTCCAGCTCTCTCTCTTTATTCTGTATTTCAAAGTAATAGCAACTATAGTCAGAATCCAAGATTTAAACACATATACTCTTAGCTCATCTGAATATTGTACTGTGCAAGTGCACAATTACCCCTTATCATAAATTCGGTTGTAGCTCACTAGTGCATGATCTACTAAGAAATTATACTGTGGCCATATAATTCATTTTACTACAGATCTCATATTAAAAACAAGAAATGAAAGCAGTAGTAAAATAAAGTATCACGTCAGACACCTGTCACAAATTCATTAATACAAATAAAATAAAATAAAACGCCTGCCTCCAACCCCAGTGCAAATAGGACATAATGGGACCAATTCTGACTTATGTCATGTGCCAACCAGGAGCAACTCTGGGAGTCACACACTGCTATGAAACCAATGCAAATGAGAAAAGAATCAGGTCTATTGTTGATGGAACAGAGTGCTGCCACCAGAGAAAGGTCTCCCACTGCTAGACAAATGTTAAGGCAAAGCTAAGACACTTATTAGCAAAGGAGGCAACATTTATCTTCGAACAATGGCTTAATTTGGGTTTCACACCATGACTGATGTGGATGTCACCATTTATTCAGATGGATGAGTGCAGCCAAAAGATGGGGGCGTTGCTCTCAATGAGTGAAAAGATTCCAAGTTTCAGGACGGACTGCTCTGATGTTGCAACAGATCAGAAAATGCCCAACCATGATGAAGAAAGGACAGGTAAATAGGAAGCTGCACCTTGTCACCTTCTGCTAAATAGGGCTGCCTCCTCCTGTACACTACCCAGGAAAAATTCCTCTGTCTGTGCTTTCAAATGTCACCAAAAAATCACACTGCTCACATTACCTCTTGCCAGTTTGGAAGTGGGGGACACTGAAAAGCTGAACTAGCTGATATCCATTTCCTTTGGAATAATAATAAACTGAAATTAATTTAAGAGTGATCTTCTACTTGCTCTGTGGGAGGGTACATGGCCTGGATATGCCAGTACTTGTAAGAAACCGATCTACAGAATGTCTTTGGAAAGGTGCTGCTGTACTTAAAGTAACAAGACACTTTCCAGTGATGGTAGTGAATCCCTTTTGTTGACTGTAAAATCATAACTGAAGAAATACTTGTTTGCTGCTGCCATGAACTGAACCCCACACTGGACATCTGTATGACATTGCTATAACTGGCATCTGCAATGAGGCTATGAAATATAGTCCAAATACAGAAAAAAGGAAATGCATCATAGGCACTGAAACTGGGTAAGTAGCAAGGAAATTCTGACACAGATATCTGAGCTAGCAGTGCCACCTAGCCTATGTTCCAGAATCGTAGTCCAGACTTGCAGCTCTTGCAAACATTTTGGGGATGCTTTCCCATTTGTTCAATCATTTTTTAAAGTATAATTAGCAGAGTGCTTATGTTTTGCAGTTAATGCTGTCAAGCCTTTTAAACTAATTGATCTTTTACAGAAAACTTAACTGAAAATTAGCATATCTTTTAATAATATTGCTTTAACTTTAATAGGACTTTGCTTTTCATTTATAATTAGTCTAAAGTTGTCATTTTCCAAGCAATATCTGCCATTTTTTTGTGTTTGCTAGTAATTTTTTATGGGTTTCTTTTAAGAAGACTTCTACTCCACTGCATGCAGTTTTAACATCACTTTCAGACAAATATTTTAACTCGTTTTTCTTTTTCAGTTGGAGGAATTCTGCTGAATGAATACATACATATATCTCCAAACCTGAGGAAAGACATCAGTAACTTATATCAATAACAAAAGGGCTGTTCAGACAGAGTCAACAGCAGAAAAAAAACAACAGCATTTCACAGTTTGAAAGTCTATTCATTCTCACAATATCGTCCAAACTTTATAGAAGTTAGGGACACTTTAGGTCACAAGATGCTGCTTGCTAATCCCCTGAGAATAGACTTGCACAAAAATTAGTCTTGTGTTTCAGAATGTCCATATCTTACATTGGAACAATTTCTTTTCCGTATAAACAAGACTGTGAGGATCCATAAGGAGAACCCCTGACTAAGGATATACTGAAAAGTTATTTTTAACTGTTTTAATATTGTCTTCCATTCTGTACTTTCATTTATATGAAGAAAAAGCAGAATTTAGTATTACAGAACAAAAATCAAGAACTGAAGTTCTAGCACAAGGAAATAAATTCTAGGATTTCAAATGTTAAATGGTACAACCTGATTCTGGAGATCCTTGCATTTAACAGCACCACTCTGACAGTATATCAAGTCTCTGATGGCAGTAGATGTCTCTTCAAAGACATAATAGTGATTAGCTGGTGCAACAATAGCCACTGCCACACTTAAAACATGAACCAGGCCTACAGTCCTCACACATAGTACAATAATGCACTTTAACTGAAGTCTGGAGTGACCACTGTTACCAACTCATCAAAAAGACAACACAGTTTTTGAGCTCATTATTGTCTTCTGAGCAATGATCTTCAAACTACCACACTGTGAATCATAGGCTTGTGGAATATATTGCCCTTGTTGCAGAGGAGAAACTGTGTGTAAATAGCCTGTAGATAGCATTTTGAAAGGTAAACTTCATTAAGTCTTTCGTCTTTGAAACAAGAAAATAACAGACAATTTCAATTTTAACATATCTAATAATGTCATCTTACAGGAAATAACACTAAACTAGCAGAAGGTAATGATCTTCAGCATTCAGATTTGAAATAGAAAGCGACAATGCATTTTTTTAATCTGCGATTCATGAGTAGAGTTTAGTCCACTATTTCTATATTAATAAAATTACATAAAACAAAATAATAATGTAATTGGTTAACACTGTTATTTATTATTACTATTATTATTATTATTATTCAATATCTGAATAACTTAGCCATTTTTTTAAAATATATTTTGTATCTCCTTTTCTATATACATACTTCTATATATATGTTTCAAATTACCTCCAGGTGGGAAAGAATACTGCATGTGTGGTTATTATTCTACTCTCTAATCTCTCTTACACCTTTCAACTACAAAACCCCACCACTGTAAGAAGAGATTCATTCTTAATGGAGTAGTTCATGCATTATGTGTTTGTACTGTGGACCATAGGAGGAATTTGCATTCCAGAGATATCAACAGAGATCGTAAGTTGGAATTTTTCAATAAAAACTAAGTAATGAAACCCCTTAATCACTAAGTGGATCAAATAATGAACTACATCCTTGTCTCAAAGTGAGCTGGCACAGGCCAGCACAGTGTAAATTATCTCCTTCTTACAGAATTCCTGTGCAATTAATAGGATGATAGCATGACTGCAGATATCATAATTTAGTTAGGATTTTGGGTTCAGTTTGCTGGTACTGGCTTGAACTTGGGCACAACAAATAGGAGCTTGTCCCTAGAAAGAAGTGTACTCTAAAAGAAGAAAAAAAAAGAAAAAAGATAATATAGTGCAAGTAGGTTATTTTTGTAAGAAATGCTCTTTTCCTTGGAGAAGTGAAAGGAGAATACATCCTTCCCATGAGAATAGGGATAGTAAAGGGAAAACATCTCATACATCTTACACTTTCTGAAGGGTCAGGAAGAACTGTATTTTTCCAACTCTTTACTAGGCCTTTGAGGAGTAAAAGAGAAAATAACACTGCCACCGATCAGCAAAGTGGTGAAAGACAGAATGGTGAACCATTGTAACTGACTGAATCCTTGGCTTGCCTTCTTGATCAGCATCTTTTCTAAGTTGGAATTTTCTACTCTTTCTATCACATTCATTTCTCTGGCTTCAGGCAGCACTGTCCCTGCCATATAATATGAACACTTAGATGTGAAAATGAAAAAAAAAAGACTGTTGAAGAAAGGAATTGCAGAAATGAGGGGGATGTTGTCAAAAACTAAAAGTTAACCAAAGTTAGCAATAGATAAAAATATTGTGAGGATTATATTATGAGTTCCAAGTAAAAATTTCTGAACAGTCATGTTCCATATATTTCTTATTGCCTCACTATTATATGCATGATACACCTTTGCACAAGAAAGCAATAGCATCCACAACATTAAACTCTCTTTTTGTGACGATGCCAGTGTCAATCACAAGAAGTAACCTTACTTTTTCCGAAATTCTGGAAGTGCCCTACTGAACGATTCATTCAGGAACATTGATTTAGATAATACTATGAGTAGATAAACAGCTCTCAGTATAACTATTTGGAACCTTCATGTTAAATTATTCCCATTTATAATATGAAAATGCTAAATATTTTATTCATAGAGATTTTAATTAGAGAAGGTACAGAGTTTAAGTGTGCTTGCTTAGGCTTTCTGAATTTGTCACATCTACAAAATATGGCAATAACCTTCAAAAAAAGTATTCCCTGAGTTTACTGAAAACTCTTAGGATGTATTAGAATAAAATTTTATCACTGTAGACTGATATTATTCATCTGTATATGGAACATATGAGGAATATAGTATGGAATAAAAATATTAAATATTTTTATTTAGATAACTGTGAATAAAATATCAAATAATAAAAAATATCAAATAATAAAGATCACTGTGAATTTTTCTTAGAAGTGAAAAGCTTCTTTCTGAGTTTAGGTGAAAGTCAGACTTGGCTCCTTTAAGTAAATTCATTTGCTCGTTTCTACTATTAGGTGGAGTTTACAACAAATGATTCACAGCATCATAGACCTTTATTTCATGGGGAGCTCAGAAAGCCTGTGCTTAGATTCTGAAGCTTTGTCTTTGCTGCCTCTTGCAGAAAGAAGTGCAACTCGCACAGAGCAAGACTGGTCTGAAAATCTAGCCAATATGAAGCAAGGCAGGATGAAAAGAAGTATGACCAAGTCATTTGCTTTAAAACTACACTATGGCTGCAAACCAAAACCCCTCATGTAGAGATAACCAAAGGCCACCATTTTTAGTTTGTGGCATGCATTTATGTTTTCATTCACAAGACAACTCATGTAAAAAGAGATTATGACCTCTTTTTACACTAGTAGAGTTCACCTGGTGTGTACAATGGCTTTCATATAGTTCTATCAGTGTCACCCTAGCGCTCATACAGAGAGCATTGTTCATGGCTACAGGAAATGGAAAGCGTGAAACACGGTTGATGCTGTCTGACATGAACTGTGAGCATAGTGACTGACACACTGAATTTGAGTCTGGATTTCACAAGGGAGATGTAATTTAAAAAAAAAATATCCTTAAATCCAGACAAGAGACTCTTTGCTTCTAAAATTGTGGACCAATGGTGGTCCTAGATTTCTCTGTTGGTTTAAGGTCTCTGTGTCCAACTACAAAATAACCTAGATGAGGCTCTGAAATTCCCTTGACACCTAAAAGTGTCTTCTCCTGTCTACCTGTGGAAAAGGGGCTATACTTTCATACTCTTTCACAATGAGTCTGATGGAAGAGAATGAAAAAGGTTTTGTTTGCTTACTGCGCTCATGAGAGAGTCCAGCACACTGACAGCAAATGCGGTTCCACATGCAAAGGGCTGCGTGAGATACAGTTCTGTGTCTGGATCATCATCATCATCTTGGTCCAAGAACTGAACATTTGAATCATTTACTGAAAATAACAATAATAATAAAATCATAAGATGCTGCTGCGTCACCAGGATGTGACCTTACACATTACACAGTCAGAAAGAAAAAGAAACGGCATATGTCTGGAAACACAGACTTGTGTCTTTGACGTCACTGAAAATGAAATCAAGATGGATGTGAAAATGTGCATTTAAAAATTTGTTGATCATTATCTTGCTCGTAAGAGCTGACTCCCTTGCTCTTGAGAGGTGACTATCCCTTTGCCGTAAAAGTAGCTTCATGGCGTCAGCTGCCTGCACTCAAAATGAGATACATGATGTTCTTTTATATACTGAGACAATCTTGGTATTGGTTGGGTACAGTGGCTAAGGTTGTATGCATGTACAGTGAAATGCTAGCATAAGACACCAAGGCAGAACCCTTTTGTAAAATAAAGGCTGTCCATAAAACTCTGATATAGCCCACAGGCATCTGTTAGATGTGCTGCTGTGATTCTTACTGGAATGGTGTTAATGCATTTACAGCTCAAAAGAGGATAAACTGTCGCTTTAACATGCATCTATCTGAATGAATAAGCAATACTTCAGCTATTATATTGCAGCACTGCCTTTTCTTTCAAATATTTGTCTCCATAACCTCACATCCTTAGCCACAAATTCTATATTAGCCAGTGTGAAAAATAATCTACATCAGACTGTTTTAAAGAAGAAGCCCAAATAAAGTAGTATTTGTCATTTAGACTTTCTCTGGCATTTCATTGTCACAGTTAAGCTCTCTGCCTCCACCTCATTCCACTAAAACTAGTTGTTTCCTGGAGATCAGTATATCAAGTGGTTCATATTTCATGAAATACTTAATTTCCATATTAGTCCTCCTCAGGCATGAAAGCAAAAACTGCTTAGTGATGCCATTGAAATACCCTTTAACTTACTAAATGACAAATTAATTTCAGTTCCCATGCAAGGAAGGGAAATTTAAAACTTCTTCAGCATTTGAAACTGAACACATTGATTATGTCCCTATTTCCCATGTAAGTACATCTCCTGAGTCAACGCAGGGAGCTTTGAAACCAAGATGAGAGCTGCTGTTAACTTGACCAGGTTTCAGCTCTGGTCTTTTTAGGCTAGAAATTCTTTTGCCTGCTATTCTGATCTTCATTCCTATATAGTCTCATCTTCAATCCACTCCTTTTTCAACCTGTATACACTACTGCATTTGCCATGCTTAGCTTACAAAACATGTGTAACTATGGGTACAGCTATCTGAAAGACATGAGAATTGTTACCAGGTTTTTTTAGAGCCCTGCTGAGCCAGTACTTGGCCACGACCTGGGCTCAAGTAGGACTTAAAATTCCTGCCTTCCCACTCCTCGATGTAACCATGAAAACATAACACCTCAGTATTGTAAATGGAGAATTATTCTGTCCTGGAAGTCAGAAGAATTTTATCCTAGCAAACACCAATATCCACAATACTCTTTCCTTTATACAATGGCTATCAATTTAATCTTCAGATTCTTGAGCAAAATAGCATTTGAAAGCCTGGAGTATCATTTCAAACTGTACTTTTTGAAGAGCTTGTGCGTTAGCTTAATTTACTAGTTGAGAGTAGGCACTATTGACAGTAGCATTCTTTTTCCACTTATATCTGGCAGACTAATTCTTGACTTTGACACCAGCTTGCTAGCTGTCTCTGGTGTCAGTTTCCAAGGTACTACAAATCTAATGTGAATTCTGCAAGTGTGGTTTTATCCCCAATAGCTTTATCTTCCTGATGCAAGTTAACATGCTAGGATTTCTACTAAAGATCTCCGGGCTAGGTGAGGTGGGCTCAAACATGTGGTGCTGTGCCATAGGAAATGCTCATCAAACACTGTTTGCAAAAGCTGATGAGAGCTTTCTTTATTGAGAGGGAGCAACATAAAAGCTTGGCTGCTTTTTTACAGCTTCAAAACCTGAGCTTCTGAGAAAAGGCCTACGCCTTCAAATAAACAAACAAATAGCTTAAGGGAAAGTCTGATGCTGAGGTTTCTTTTCTAATATCTTTTAGTTCTTCTTGGACTTCCTGTGAGAACTGCTAAGGCATGTCCACCAAATTGACAATAGGCTGAAATAACAAAAAGAGAAAGAGAGAGAGAGAGGAAAGAAGAGAAAAATTGGTGTGTGTGGGGGAGAGAGAACGTGGGAGGTGGGGGTTCAGGCCAAAGAAAATGAATTGGTGAGAAGGTGCTATGAAAACAGCCGGCAGGTCAGACGAGTGTGATCAAAGGTTTACTGATGCTGCGTGAAAAAAAAAAATCATTAAGAAAGGCCAGAACAAGATAGTCAATTTCAACCAGAACCACAAATAAAACACATTCAAAGCAGTGCCATGAGGGTAGCCCCTCTGATACAGCCAGATAAATAACGGAAAAGCTGATGACAGTAAGAACAACAACAACAGAAAATAAGACAGTGATGTGAAGGAAAAAGGCGCTTCTTACCCAGTTCAGTTATCATTAGAATGTGGGTTCCACTGTTTTTTTCCTGACTGATTGAAACCAAAGGCAGAAGTTTGCCAGGCTTAGCTAATAAGTAAAGTATTTAAAGGGAAAAGAAAGTACAGAAAGAGAATAAAGTAAGGGAAAAAGACAGGTAAGGCTGTAAAAAAATAAAACTGAAAAAGAAAATAAAAGGACAAAGGACCACAAATCAAGTTGGTATTTGCCGTGAAGAAAACAGAGCAGCTTCTGCACTTCACATCACACCACTTGACAACATAAATATCCACAGCTAGAGTGGAAATCAGAGCCTGGTTACCTACCATCATCGTATTCTCAGGAGTGAAATGTCTCATACTATTATACAGAGTTTGGTTACACATGATTAAACAGTTCTGGACCATGAAGAAATAAACAAATGGTCTTTTACTATTGATTAAATGCACAGGAAATGTCTGCTCATACTTACTGTGGTTTTTTTCTTTTCTAACCATAGCCCAAAGACCCCTGCTTATTTGTTACACTATGTAAAAAGCATCTTGTCTGAGAGAGTGTTTATTTAAGAAAATGGAGAAAACCCAAAGGAAAGAGAAAACCCTATTTCAGTTATTCAAATAAAGTGAAACAACTGTTACTAATCTTTCTTTAGAGAGAGTAATTCAAAACAGTTATCAGAAGAGAAAACACAGCAGGGTAAGATACAGTATGTGTAATTTTCCTGAGGCTGCATAACAAGGGAAGTGGGAAAAAGGTATAGAAGTGAACATGAAAGGATAAATGTTACCGTTTCTTACCTAGCTCTGTTATAATGGGGATGTTGGCTCCTGTTGTGATGGAGGGTTGACGTAACAGGCCATGGACTGGACTGTTGTCTGGAGATGACCTATCCATTCCAGGGGGTGTAAAGCCTAAAAGGAAAAAACAAAAAAAGGACAAACACAAGATAAACTACATTAAAAAAAAATGCCCAGCAAAAAGAAATTCTCTATTCCTAATTAATTTTCTTTTTCCAGAAAATTATGGTAAAAGAATTGTTATTTAAAAAAAAATTACTTAAATTTCAACAATTATTTCTTAAAAGCACAATCATTCACAAATATGCAGGTAATTTCTACTGTAAGATATCTAGTAACGAACGGAGAGACTGAAATTTATTTTGCTATCCTAGCTAGCTTTTGCATCAAAGCATGCAAAATGGAAAGAGTAATGCTTACTTAAATATAAATAATAAAAAAAAATACTTCAATGTTAGAAAGGTTTAATTTTGTCCTATTAGTATTTCAAATAATCCTGAAACAAACACCTTTCCTTAAACCTCAATTAACAATTTAAAGAGTATTGTTTGTAAACAGTAGTGGTATGGTAAGGAACAAATTGCTTCTTTTAGTAAACATGCAGGATTTAAAATGTTTTAACTCTTTTCCAGGAGCAATACAACCCACACAAATTTTTGTTTTGGTTTGTGTTTTTTTTTCTTTTCAGTTGTACCATTCATAATACGCATTTTTATGAGGATTACAATTATAGAAATACTGGGATAGAAGGGCCCATTCTAACAGAAAAAAAAAAAAGAGGATGGAAGGAAAAAGACACAGGTTTTCAAACATATGTAAGAGGAACGCTTGAGAAGAAACCAAAAAGAGTTTTATACCTTTGGGGATGTATAGGAAAGAAAGGTGGGAGAAGAAACATATTGGCAGGCACTCAAAGGAAAAGAAAGATCTGGAGACCAGCAAGGTTCATCTCTAAATAAAGATTGTTTTCAGCTAGATTCTCTACACAGTTTGAAATGAAGCTATTGACGCTGGGCATTTTTAAATTATTTTTTAAATAAAAGAACTCCACATAGAGAGTTTTGGAGTTTGATTGTAAGTACTGAAAAATAGGCAGGTATACAAAAGCCCATGCAACAGTCGGACTGGAAATTCACAGTTGAGACTAATGCATTCCATTTCCCTTTTTGTTCTGGTTTAGTGGAACAGAATTTTAGAGTCCGTTTTCTGTTGAGGAAAACTGCAATTTGGTGAGGACTACAACACTCTATTTCATGGGAACAAAGTTGATAAGACACTTTGGCCAGTCCTGGTATGCAGCTTGCCATAGTGCTCATGGTCTTCAAGGTCTTGGGATAAACAGTTGCAGAGACTGGGGGGAGTGGAAACCTAGGAGAGTTAACCCCAAGGTGACCCCATGCTGACCAATTAAAACCATTCATATAACGAATGTCACATTCACTATAAATTGAGGAGTTTGCTGGGGATGGTGCTTCTCCTCCTTTCCCTCCTTCTTCCCTCTTCCGTGTCTGACATCTTGAGAGAGACTTGTTTACCATCCTCAGCCTGAGGCCTACTCCCTCACAATACCTGCTTAGTATAACTCTCTGCATTTTATGCTATAACTGTTATTAATATTAGGTCATTATTATTTTATAGAAATATATTTCTATTTCAACTCATGAATCTCTTTTCTTTTTCCCAGTTCCCCTCCCCAGGTAGTGAGGAGGCATCGGGGACAGAGTAACCTGCATAAACCACGACACTGTTGAAAGCGTGGGAATGTGCATTTAATATCAGTATTGCATAAGAGATGGTGAAGCCAGAGTTTCACTTTAGGGCTTCATGAAGACCGATGACAAGGCAGCATTTTTAAGCAAGTATTTGTCTACTAGGAATAGCATTGAGCCAAGTCTGCTTTAAAACACACATTTCCGAGAAACATTAATTTTTTGCCCCATTATGCCCAAGTTCTTCGACTTCACACCTGACATACAGGGACAGACTTTTGATCCTCTGTCATTACTGGTCTGAACTAGTTTTGAATTCTCCTCATACCAATTCTAAATTAATGACAGCCAAGCTAATTCCTGGTGTATCTTCGTTATTTTCTTGCAGTGTAGAACTGTTTCCCTCTGTTTAATTGATACATTACTCTGTTTTTGAATTCAGAAAAAGATTATATGATACCACCTACTTTACCTTTTTTCAGTTTGGTGTCTAATTTACAAACGAAGAAATCTCTAAACTAATCTGTAGTTGATAACATGTGGTACTGGTTTTATACTGTTTTTGTGAGGGATTTCTTTTCCGGTGATAATTACCATCACTCTTAAATTGTCCTTAAATGAGACAAACTATAAAGACCACTAGATCTGGACTTCTTGATTTAATGAAATTTATTTTTTTATTTTATATTCAGTTAATTTCTCCCTATGTTTTGTCTATATCACATATAGAATATATAGGTAATAAAACTAGAATAACTGCGAAGAGACTTACTAAGCCCTCAGGAAGGTGCCATTATGAATTTCCTTCTGACTGTCACATAAAAGCTAGATACAACATCAGGATTGTAATGACAGGATAAGTGAAAAGGGAGTGAAAAGTCTGTGAAGAAATTCCTTAGGAGAAAACAAGTGGATGTGGTATCTTCAACAGGCTTGCAAGACAAAAACATGACCATAGGCAAACCAAAGACAGCAAAGCAGTTCTCTTTAATATTACCAGTGCATATAAAATCTTTAGAAAGAAGATTTCTTAGAAACTATCGGTAATGTTAGCAATCTTAGTAGCTGGTCATTTAATACTACTCATTGTGCTGAAACTAATTCGATAAGACCAGGATGGTAACAGTGAGTTGCATTCCCAACTGGGAATTTATTTGTAGATGTTTCCTTGTGTCTAGCACCACGACTGATAGCCATATTGGCTCTGTGAATGCTTACTTCTGCACGGCAGAGTCTCAGATTTCGCAGACTCGCAAAGTGAGTCTAATGGAGTACCTTCAGGCACCACCTCATGAATTGGAGGCAAGTCCTACACTCTCACAGCAGCAGGAAAATTAAAGTAGGACTCCAAAGGGAGGAAATAATATATAAGGACAGGTGGGTATTAAAGTGACACCTCCTTCTGCAGCAGGCTCCAGTGGTGAAGTTTTGCATTCCTACAGTAAAGGCGAGATATGGCTTTTGACATACTACATTAAAAAAAGCTCAAGTAGCTGTAGACTCTTTGTGCAGACTCTTTTGATTTTAAATCACAGGCCCAATTGGGCCCTCTGCAGAATTACAAATCAAAATGGCAACAGTGAGACTTTTCACACTCATCTGAGAGCAGAGATCTTGTTCCCATGCACCCTAGAGGTTGTACTGCTGGGAACATCTCCAGAGGCCCTGCTTCCTTCTTTTTCCTGAACACCTTTCTTTGCCCATCTCAGGATGCACTCCCTAAAACATCTTTCAGTGAATAAGGCTCTTCAGATACTAAGAGCACAGGGGTATTTCCTGACTAACTATAAGCAAATTGAAGAAAGTTGGCATAACTGCACCTAAATGCGTAAGTCCTTCTTGCCCTCCTGCTACTGCAATGTGCACACACACAGAGGCACGCACACTCTCCATCAAAGGCTATTTGTAGCCACCTCTCTCTAACCCTTCAAATGTTTGTCTTCCTAGGATAGTGTGAGAAGATTGAAGTAAATGTGGCATTTCTGTTAGACACAGACTGTCAGGAGCTCTGTAATTGCATACTGCACAGAGTGCATTCAGTCTGAAATGCAAGAAGCATGTTAAAGGGATTTTGTTTTCTCCCTGAATGAAAAACAGACCCTTGCCTTAATATTCTTTCATCCTATGGTCTTGGAAGGTGTAAGAAATATCCAGTATTTTGATTTAATTTTCTTGCCTATGCTTAATTTAGACACCTCTACAAATCTACTTTTTAAAAATACAAAGGTCTTGGAATATTTTCAGAAAGAGGAAAATTGGAGTACTTGGGGATTTTGTGTGCCTATATTTGGAGTCACAAGGCATCGTATACCTTCAGGCCACATCCCTGCTCCTGAGTCACAATGTAAATTCTATACATAGTCTCTCTATTTTTTCCCTCCAGAAAAGAAAGGGGTGGAGGGTGGGGAAGTGCAGGAAAACTAACCTGCTTTATCAGAACTTTCATTTAAAGGCAGGAAAAACTGCAAGTGACAGCTGTGCAGATTCAGTGAATGTGACATTTCTGAATTTCTTCAACTTGACAAGTAAACACCTTAAATCGGTAATGCTATATGCATAATACATGACCTGTATTTTGACATCCATCATCAAATGCTGACTTGAGAAAATACAGGTTTGTACGTCAAGGAATAGCACCCATAAAGCAGGGAGAAATTCAGGTCACAGGGTATTAGGAAAACTCTATTTCATTACAGAAGCTGAAACAAGCTAAGGCATCAGATTTAAGATCCATTTTCAGCTGTGAAAAGATTCAATTCTTCTGCACAGAGCATTCATTTAGAAATGACATGCTTTCCTCACAGCCTCTTTTCATTTTCCTTTTCATATTCCATTTTCTCCTTCAGTCCCCAAACCTTGTTCCATTAATGCTCACAAAAATCCTAAACCAGGGCTGATAGTTGTGATCTTCTTATAACTACAGTGTCTCCTTGTTCAACAAACTGAGGGAGTTGCAGCTACGATTGCTTAACAGGATGAATCTCTAGAGTAAAATTCACATGGCCTGCACAATCCTGAGCACAGTCCCTGCGTAAGGAAATACGACGACAGTGGAGGGCTTCTGGAGAAGGAAATTATCTTTGTTAGCAATTAGGAAGTAAGGTGCAGCACAGTCATATTAGCTCCCGCAGCCATGGCATCTGATACTAAATTGGTGTACTAGGTTAGTGATTGCCTTCGCACTTTTGTTTGCTTGTTTGTTTTGTTTTGTTTTGTCTCCTATTAAACCATCTTTACCTCAACCTATGAGTTTTATTCTCATTGTTACGCTTCTGATTCTCTCCCCCATCTCACTAGGGGGAAGTAAGCAAGAGACTCAGTGGGGGCTTAGCTGCCAGCCAGGGTCAACTGACCACCATTGACTATGATGATAACCATAACATCAAACTGAGGAAATGGCTTGGA